AGAACAAGATTTTTATGTGCTATGTTGTGCCAACTGAGCATGATGTCCCCCAAGACTATGGTCCTGAGCCCACAGGCCTGGTTATTCTCTCTCCCAAGGTGTTTGGTTGTCTCTCAGAAGCTACTCCAACCCTGTATTCTGTTGCTTCTGTAGTGTACGTGGATAATTTTGTTACACAAGTGAATATGTAAGATTATCTTCAGTCAAATCTATCCTTGGTCTAGGATATATTCCTGTTCACTATTCCCACTTGATCTCACCTGTCTAGGCATTTACCCGTAGCCTGGTGTTTGGTGCCGATGGTAATGAAGTATTGTGCATCTAACAGTAGTTGCCTCTGTTGTCTCTACCTTTTGTGCATGTTTCTGTGTGTTTGACCCTATTAATGAAGCTGCATCTGATGAAGAGAATGCCCAGCTCACCCCCCGCCCTACTCTGTCCAGAGTAGCCAGACTGGTTAACAGCATTTATTGTTGAGCAATTTGCCTGGCACCAAAGTAGCATGAAGCGAAGTGGAAGTCCCAAATTGCTGGCTGCAAGGAATTGAGAGAGACTGAGCAAGATTGGCCAGATCTTTGGGCTGCCCAATGGAGACAGGAACTGACAAAGATGGTTGACCCAGCTTTAGGCCAGGGCCGTTACGTACAGGCTCTCAAACGAATACACTGTCTTTGCTCATGATAGCTACTCACTGTTGAGAGCTTCACAGCCCATCTCATTAATTTCATATAACAACCTGCCAGTTAGGAGGGGTCATCTCTGCTTCATACAAGGGGTAGTGAGTACAGAAAGGAGAAGTAACTTCCTAAGATCTTTTGTACCAATGGGAAGTGGTAGAGCCCTGGATTGGAACCCAGAGGTGCCTGACTGAAACAGGGAGTCTCCCAAAGCACTGCACAGTTACATCTCTTTCCTCTGCTTCCCTGCCCTGCCCAGGACAGAAGCCAAGTAGGACAGGGAAGGAGTTTTGCAGGGAGTGTTGGGAGTCCCATGTACCAATGCCTGAGGACTCTTAATGAGCTTGAGTGTCATCCACCCATCCATCCATCCATCCATCCATCCATCCGTCCATCCATCCATCATCACCACTACGCCATGGCGACAGACCAACTCCCGCACACTTCTCCAGCTCACCTACTAGATCTTACACACTCTCTTAACTCCCTGTGGGTTTGGCCAAGCCTTCTCAGCTAAGCCTCACTATTGGCAGCTTGGCCAAGACCGGAATTGAATCAGGAACATTCTTCCTGTCATGGACCTTATGTTATCTTAATTCTTTTTAGCCAGGAGTGAACAATGTTCTGGACTATGGCCTGGACCGAGTGACCAATCCAAATGAAGTTAAGGTAAACCAGGTATGTCTCTCCACTCAGAGGTGCTCAGTGGAAGCTGTTCTGAGGCTGGTTGTGTTCTGGCCACACATCCATTTGTGTCTGTTGGGGCACCTTTGAGACTGACAAAGAGAGGAGGGCTATGCCACTGCAATAGTAGGGTCAGGGTAGGGGAGAGGCCATGAAGAGTCTTGGGTAAAGAATGCTATAACTGGAAGGAGACAGAGAATGTAGATGCAGGTCAGGGCAAATGGGATCTAGATCATTGGTTTTCAACTTTTCTAAGTCATTTTCCCCTTTGAAAAGCTGATGACTTTGGATTCCACCCAAAGATCCATACATTTTTGCTCACAACGTTATCCAGGTCCCTGACTCCCAGACCATAAGCCCCAGGTTTGAAAGCCTTGGCCACGCACCTTTGGATTTAAACCTTGATCACATGACATGTCGTACTTTGGGATCCTAGTGGGTTAATTTCTCACTGATCTTTGCAAGGATTTTTCTGCACTTTTCGTTTTGAAAGGACCCTTTTCTCAAGTAGGCTACCTTCCCTGAGGGCTGACCATTTCCTACATTGCTGTTATTAATATTATTTAAAGAAATGCAGCCCACAAGCTGTTGAAACAGTGAGCATGCAATCAGAATTTCTCAATCTTGTCATGATTGACGTTTTGGGCTGGATCATTCTTTGTAGGGGGAGGGTACTGTCCTGTGTACCACAGGAAGTTTGGTGGCATCCCTGGCCTCTACCCACTAGATGCCAATAGCTCTGTGCATTCCTCTCCCTGCCCCCCTGAGTTCCGACAGTCAAAAATGTCTCCAGATAATGCCACTGTCCCAAGAGGCAACGTTACCCTGTGTGAGAATCCTGATACAAATAACCAACCACTTACCGCTGAGTCACCTCCAGCTCTTGGCAACCATGTGGGCCAGAGGAGAACTGTTCTCCGGGGTTTCCAGTGCCTGGTTTTTTTGGGAAATACATCACCAGGTCTTTCTTGTGGGGTGCCTCTGAGTGGACTTGAACTAACCTTCTGGTTAGCAGCCAAGTGTGTCATAAACCAGCCTAAAATCCATTAGGTGATTTTCTGTCTCACGTTGTCCTGGGCAGGGCTTTAGACTGGTTTGAGTTGGTTCAGTGAGAACAGACCTGAATCTGTAAAATGTGGGTATATCATTTCCAAAATGTGGAATGCTAACTGCAATGGGGAAAGTTACAGGTCACAGTCCAGAATGTAAGACTTGGAAGAGGCATGGTGAGTCCTTTCAGGAGCTTGATGCAGGAGTCCGGAGTATGGCAATACTCAAAAGCAGTGCTGTCACTGCCATCTTTGAGCCGGGCACTGTTGTTTATGATTCTGCTGATTATGAGATTTGGTTGCTATGCATTGTGATCAGTGCACTTGTTTTCTAAGAGGGAGATTTCTAGCAGGTTGTTGACCCATATCTTTTCCCATTCCGGTTATCATTCTGGTACCACCCACATTTTATAAATTTGGGTCCATTCCAATTTTGCTTCATTGGTCATGACTCAACAGGAAGAACTGGTTCAAAGCCCTAGAGCAGCCAGGGATTAGTAAGCTTGTTGGCTTGTGCATTGTCTGTAAGGCCTGAGCAGGGGCCCAAGGGATGAGTGGGGAAGGAGGAGGAAGAAGGAGGCTGAAGGTGGGAGAGGGAGGATGGGACGTAGGTGCGACGGGGCTCTGCCACAAGCTTCTGCCTCCCAGGATCTGGAGCTCAGGGGCTGTGGATGAGCCCCCACCTGTGTGTAACAGAAGCCCCAGTTTAAGGAGAGAGCCCTGAGGAGAGGAACATCAAGTCTCCAGACATGTCACCCACGGGCATCCTTAGGCCCCTTCACAGCTCGAGTGACCCTGCTTTGATACACGCCCTCTCAGCCCTTAGCCTGCCATTCCCATGGCAGTCTTTCCACTTTCCACTTGTCAGATAACAGATAATTGCTGAAGCCTTGTAGGCTTGGTTGCCAGGGAAACAGAGTCATCAAGTGGAATACTGAAACTGGGTGGAAGATTTGCTTTTTTGTGGATAACTGGCAGCTCTGGAAACTCCTTTTTCAGTGGAAGAGGGGGAGGGAGGAGTCGGAAAGCCTCTCACCCACCCTGACCTGGGAGAGCTTTTGTCTGAAGGTCATATCATATGGTGACCTAAGCACTTCTCACGGGAGGCTAGCCAGGACTGTGCTTGTGTGTGTGTAAGTGTTGTGAGCATTTGAGAGTGTATGTGTGAGTGTGCGACAGTACATATGTGTATGTGTGTGGGTGTAGTGTGTGTGTGAGAAAGTATGTGGTGTATGAATGTGAGTGTGTCTGTGTGTGAGGTGTGAGGATGTGTGTATATGTGTGAGTGTGCATGTGTGGTATGTGAATGTGTGTGTGTATGAGAGAGTGTAATGTGTGTGAGTGTGAATGAGTATACAAGAGTATGTGAGAGTGTGTGGTGTGCGAATGTGAGTGTGTGGAGTGTAAGAATATGAGTGTGTATATGTGTAGGCCTGTATGTGTGAGTGTGAGTGTGTGCATGCGTGAGTATGAGCAGGTGTGCATGTGTGGTGTGTGTATGTGGGGGTGTGAATGTGAGCATATGAGTGAGTGTATGAGTGTATGTGTAAGTGTAGGTATGAGTGGGTGGTGTGTGAGTGTGTGTGACTGGAGTGTGTATATGTGTAAGTGTATACGTGAATGTGTGTACAGTGTGTGTATGTATGTGGTTTATATATGTGGGGTATGTGTGAGTGTGTATATGTGTGAGTGTATGTGTGAGTGTAAGCATGTATGTGTTGTGTGTGTGTAGAGTTTGTGTATGTGTGTGTGGGGTATGTGAGTATGTGTGAGTGTGTGTGTGTGTGAATGTGATTATGAGAGTAGATGTGTGAGTGTATGTATGAGTGTGTGGGGGTATGAGGAGTGTGTATAGTGTGCTGGAGGTGAGGGGTGCTCCTTTCTCTTCAACTCTCGGGAGGTCACTTGGGGAGCAG